ACCGTTCATGTCGTGGTGGAAACGGTCGAAGTGTGGAGAACGGCGCTGGGGGGTTGAATTCTGGTGGAGAGGGGGGCGATCCAGTGTTGGAGTCTGATCGGCGAAACGATATGAGTCGATGGAATCATCGGGGATCGGTTGTTTGTGCATGTTGTAACCTCAGCTCTTGGGGGACAGACATATGTTATATAAGACTTTAAGAGACCATTTTGTGTTCGGGGAGTGTGTGACTGTGCCGGTGTCATGAATGAATGGTGTTGAACACTTGAAATTGCGATGCTTACCTAGCACATCCCACTCTATCTCGGCTCGGACCCATCAGTTACATGACATCATGCCTTGATTTGGAGATCATTTGGTGCCCAACAGCTTAAGTTTCGCGGCGATGAGGGGACCATTTTGGTGGTCAACCTGTCTCGGACCGTGCTGGAGTTCGTTTGTGATTGCTCAATCAATCCCACATGAATGATCATGCTGCATATAAGACAGCAACTCAGTTTGCTGGGTGTAGTCAAGGCCCACAGATGACTTGAACATGGACCATGTCTTGGTCTTCAAGATGCATCCTGCATCAAAACAACTTGCTAACTAGTAGGCATTGGTCCAATCAGCAGACGCAACGCACAGGACGACTATGTGACGTGAATCCCAAGCACTGCAGCAGAACCCTCAATCGTCACTCCGTCACGACCGCCTACGGCCAGCCCTACTACGATCCGGATGCGGGCTGTGCTCCTCTCAGAAAGCCGACCAGGGGATTTGGTGGAATCCACCAGAAGTTGAGTCGGTCACCAGTGGTTCCAAAGACCCTTTCTTGTTGAATCCACTGAGGTCGAGTAGTGAAAGTAGGCGAGTCATACTTCTGAACCTACCAGTACAACGCTGGGGGCAACCCTAAAAAGGTTGGTTTTAGGGTCTCAAGGGTTAAGAAACAGGAGAGATGCTATGGCTATGGCATGCTATGGCTCAAAACCTAAAAATATCTGCAGCTTTGAGTCCTTTTGTCCATTTGCCCGGGGGTAGTTGGTAGCCGGATGATCCTGATGTCATTTGTTCCGAGCTCTATTTTGACGGTGAGCAGTGCAATGACTCCACGCGAATACTAAATGGTACTTTGCTCCCCAGTCACATGGTCAAACTTTTTGGGTGTGGCTTTAACTCTTGAAGAAGTCCGCCAATCGATCAGTGTTTGTTCCTACTTTGCAAAAAACAGCAACATGGATTTTCTGTAGGTGTGCCTTTGGAGTGCCCAGCTCTCAAGAGAAAAGGAGCACCCTAGACATATTGTAGATATATAATAATAGAGTCTCATGACACATTAGTAGATAATGAGTTTCATGACGTACATTATACTTTTTGTATATTGTTGTTCTTTTCTGTTCCTTTTTATACTCTGCTTTCGATGAACATGAACATCCTATTTCCTAGGTCTCAGTCTCAGTGATCTCATGTTTCAGGCCGCTTCCTGCCACAAGCCTCAACAGTCCGGGATGGAGCACAGGCGCGGGTCAGAGTCAGTCCGGCCTTGGGCACAATGGCCCGGTCAGAGCTGGTACAAGCTCAGTGTTCTTAGATCGTAGCTCTAGACCACTACACAAGCAACATCAAACATACTAGAGTTTTACTACATGATGGGTTACATCATGTTACATCATGTCATGTTATACTATTAACACATACAGTAATCGGATGACCAGGCAAAGGTGCACCCCAGTTGTTGGAATTGGAAGGAGCGTACCTACATTTCAATTGTCAAATTTTGTTCTTATTCTTGGGTGCTTAGGGCTTCTTATTCTTCAGTGAAGGGTGCAATGTGGGGTTTTGTGAGTGGTCGTTGACCACCGAGCTGGTCAATGTTCAGTACATCCACTGAATCTCATGTATATCAATATCGATTCAACCCGTACATGTTAGATTTCATACAACCTCTTCTATCACAGATTCTTGCTGCAAATATGTCACTCCAATAATCAAGGCATTCCTGGTGAAAATGGACAATTGCACATGGTTTCTTTATGCATGGGTGCTCACAAAAGGTGCTTTTGGAGGCTTTTGGTGGAAACCTACAGTTGAACTCGTCATGTTTACTCTATGTCTACAAAGCGTTGTTCTTGTGATGATCATTGCATATCATCGCATTGTCATACCATCCACTGTTTGGAATGTGTTTGGATGCCCCTGGCAGCCGAGCTTGATTCCTCAGGGGTTCAAAATTCAGTGGCATGCTTGTTGATAGTTGTGATAGTTGTCAGAAGCCCGCCTGCCAGACCCAATTCCTCTACGAAGCAATATAGAAGCCAATTGCCCACCAAAGCCAAGCCATTTGGGTCCTCAGCTTTTGCCCATTCTTGCCCTGAAACCGAGCGAAAGCCACACGCAACAATGCTCTTCCCGAGCATTTTCCATGTTGAAGTCATCAGCTCTTCGGTCATTCGGGTTGAACACCAGGAGACCCAGTCAGATAGACCCAACAAGAATGGGCTGCCAGCAAAAGAACAGCATGCCAGTTGGATCGGTTCACCTTCCTTGGGCGTAAACCATCTTCGTTCACCTTGCTTGAGCCAACTCCACCATCACTTCGCCATCGACTCGCCATCTCCGGAGGTGCTCGGAGGCCATTTGGGCCCCTTGAATTGCGAGGGACCCTCGACCTGCCGGGGCGCCCGGCGGTGGTGGCAGACTGGATGCAGAAGATGGTCGTGATGGTGATGAAAGATGCTTCCACTCAATATCCAGATCAACAGAGCTTCAACTGAACGAGATCCAAATCAGTGCTAGGCCCAGGCTGACTACTTCTCCACCTGAGGCTACGACACACCGGAGGAGGTGATGGGTGGCAAGGCACCCACCTTCCTGGACGCTTGGGGCACCCAGCCGGGCGCTTCATGTCGGACCTGGTGGCAGCTCACAGTCTGAGATTTCGGGTTGAAATGGCACGGATCTGGAATCTGGGTCTTGTTGTTATAAGGAATAACCGATGACCAACCTTTTCGAACTCATGAGTTAATGTCAAAATTCTTTGGGATCTTGCATCTACCTTAGTGGTTATGACTTATATGCATGTGGTTACCTTACCTCAAAAACATGGCAATCATTTGGCCTGATGAGCCAACTCAATTTGATTGAAGGTGCTAAGAACTTGGGGTGGTCTCCACTAAAAGCAATATGTCGCCCCTTTTTCCCTTCCAACCTCTTTTGTGCCAATCCCCAAGTTGGTCGAGACACATAAACATACACAGACATAGACACACTCTTAGGGTTTGCTTGGAACACACCATTTGGTCCCCCCAAACAAGGGAGAACATCGAGTGGTTAATAGATGCTCTTGATCGGCCAATCGATCTTGATCCTGCAAGTTGATCCCAAAATCTTTCAGGGCCGGACTCTCCCAGGTGTTTCTGAACCACTTCAAGGAGGTAAACGGGAGTAACACGAGCGACATGTGGTTCATGAACCAAGATTTGTGTTAGCTTCCCTGTTCGGATCATCGGACCTCGGCCAGAGTATTGTTGGAGTGAAGTCCTTATCAAGTGGTGCGTGTGATTTGCCGTTCCTGCCCAGATGGGGCTGGGAGTTGATCCTGTCTACTGCCTACCCATCAAAGCCTGATCCGTTCAAACAGGTCCAAGTGGATGCCAGCTACGAGAATCGGGTGATGATTGCAGCCACCTATGACATTTGCTACTGCGATGAGAACTGCCTCAATAGCGTTTACTGGTTCAAGGCCGCCGTCGTGTTCATGTGTGTGGGCATGAGAATGAGAGAGGGGGAGAGAGAGAGAGAGAGAGAGATATAGAGAGAGATGATGATGGAACGAACAGGTTGAGAGAGATGCGGAAATTGAACCCTACTCATCCCTTCTTGCCCAAAAGAGTAAATTATCCTACGTATAGGTTCTACTTCAACTCAATTTGAAGGGATCATCAGTACACCATCTCGTTGGCTCACTCATGTTCCATCTCCGACTGAGTCTTGTTTGCTTATGGCATCTTATGTCGGAAACTGCAGTCTGGGGTTGGGAGTCCTGTTCTCCCACATTGCGTTAAAAGCAGGGGGATTTGAAACCTTTTGGTCCAGAGAGTTAAAATAACACTAGTTGCACAAGACATCAGACAATCTGAGACCCACATGTTGGAAGAGAAATGGGACAACTATGATTCCATTCTACATATATTTCCTCGAATTTTGTGACTGAGGTTCCTATTTCTTGTAGCCACTGGGCAAGATCACCTAGTATTCAGTAGTAACCCTCCGCAATCCCGCAGATGTTTTTTGATGTTTTTCGTGATGTACCAGAAGACAAAGAGGGTTCCAGTGAGATTTCAAATGAATTCACCTTTCTAACATCCCTTTGGGTCACATACATTCCAGATTCAGCAGTTTATCCATGTGTTTGAACTTTCACGCCTCCTGGGGGGATGTGACTGCTTGCTTCTTATCCATGTTTGATTAAAAGTAGAAAAAGGGTCTCTGAATGTCTCTGACTTGACTTAGAATTTCTGCACAGTTCGCCTGGTTGGTGCAAGTCTGGTCTCCTCCAGGCCGGGACCTTGGATGTGGAGCCTGTGGTGACCCGCTTCACCACGGTTTGGGGTTCCCAGCGGAGAAGCCATGGTTTTCGCGACTGGAGCGGGTGGTCTGGTTTATGACCTGGAGTCTCCAAGTGTGCAAAGTGGGTACACGTCTTTGCCTTGGGTCGTGTCATTTCATAATTTCATATTTCATTCTTGGTGGACTTTGGAGAGTCCAGGTAGTTCCAATGTGGGTTTGGAAGGGGTCCATTTGTCTCGATATGCTTCGTTGTGTGGCCCAAACTGATGTCAGTGTAAACCTGCATCTGGCTTTGGCAGCCACTAGCCACCACCACAGCTACCACCACAACCACAGCAACATGGACAACCGAACAACTGTGCTCTTGGAGACTCGTATCGAACAAATCCAGTTTTTGATTGTCAGGTTGGATTTGATTCATCAGCTCATGAAATGCCTTTTTCCCGCAGCTCAAGCTGATCAAGTCTATGATTGCCGCCGGACCTTCCTGATTCCACCAGACCCTTGTGGCCATGTTCCGTCGGCAGTTGGCCCAGGAGACCGCCGAGTCCGAGGCAGCCTACCGCGCTGAGACGGAAAGGATGGCGAGAGGCTTTGTGGCCGCCAAGATGGAGGATTTCATGCAGAAATGCCATGAGGCAGCACGGAAGCGGAAGACGTTTATCCGTGTCGAGTATCAGATCGACGATGTCCTGTTTCGTCGGGATGAGGCTAGCTGCCGAGAGCTTGTGTTGGAGATGTTCAAGGGACCCATGGCCGAGCTGGGATTTCCTGACGGAGCACGACCACATCCAGATTCCAGGTCCAGATATCGAGTCTTGTTTTTTTTGGAGGGCAAGTGGGATGGAGAAGACGTGGCAGCTTGCAGTGAGCCAACCGTTGTGCCTGCGCCTGCAGGCACCCGGATCACCTGCCCCATTTGCCACGAGCATCGTCCCGCCGTGGCCTTGATCCCTTGCGGCCATGTGATTTGCCGTGACTGCCAGAGATGCCAGCAGATCCGCCAGTGCCCGATGTGTCGTGAAGCAACATCTTCGGCGACACGAGGGCTCTTCATGGACTGAGGCCGAGGAGGAGGGAAGATGCCTTTGCATTTGGAGCTGTGTCAGCATGTTGGAAGGGCATTGGGGGAGTTAGCCATCCTTTGCATCTGACAAATGCCCAAAGAGCAGAGGTTGATTGATCAGAATGATGATGTAAAATTCTTTGTTGCCGGTGGGGAATCTTGAGAGCTGGACGACAATTTGACTTGGTCGCTTCTTCCAGGAGACCTGCAAGAAGCTGCATGAATGAGTATCACATCACATCCCTACATACTTTAAGTGCTAGGTGCTAGGTTCTCCACTTCAATGAAAGAACAGCAGATGGCCAAGGAAGGTGTTTCCCTTTATTTGTTGGATTCGATAGATTCAGGTTGCCGTTGCTTTTGTGCAGGAGAATCCTAGTTCAAAGTCAGAACGTCTCCCTCGGAGGAACTCTGACATGTCAACTCACACAAAGGCCTGATGCTGGAGTCTTTCTCTGGCTATCACACAGGCACTCCCAAGATCAATTCATTGGTGTCCACAAGAGGCATTGCATGAAAATGCAAGAAACCATAGCAGAGAAGCAACGTGAAAGCAAGAAATGCGTTTGTACTGAGATGTAGCTTGAGGAGTGGATGATGTTCACCTTGTTTCATCTAACAACAACATCGCAGCAACAAACTCGCCACGCATTTGGACATTCTATGTTCTCCGGCTGTTTATACATTGGTCCTTTGAGCTGGTATGAGGAACCAGAAGACTTCAATTCATCAATGGAAACTCAACACCACCGACACCCCAAAATCCGAGTGAGCACCGCAACTAGCAGTTGCACAAACTCATCCATTCAAGCATTCCACAGGAATTTGTTTAGGGTATCTTTGGGTGGCATGCTGGCATGCTGTGTCTTTGTTGATGATGTTGATGTCATTGGGGTAAAGTCTCGTGGAGTCTTTCGCCAGCGGCTGCTGCTACCGAAGCTTTGTTTCGAGCCCAGGACTACACCACCGGATCCTACGGTGAGAACCCGGCCATCGTCAACACAGGCGCTCCACCGATCAACCACCGCGCTGGCCGACGTCGGGGACGGTCGTTTGGCTGTTGTTTGGGCCCTGGAAGGTGGAGGGATGGAGTATGGGAAGCAAGTGGTTGTCATAGCAAGCCAGAGTGTTCATTGCAGAAACTTTTCATCAATGACACAACAAGGCGTTGGGCCTGTGTAAAACAAAGGCAGGCACTGCCACAGTGGTGTGAGAGGAGGAGTGTCCTCTACCTCAAGTTATTTTTGTTCTGTTCTGTTAGCTTAACCGCTGTACGGTACTAACACCTGGCAATTATGTTCAACAAGAAGTGACGTTTTTGTCCCACGTCTTGGTTCAAAGAGGTGAACAGTGAATGGATGCTTCCAAGTTGCCAGCATGTTCAATGTGTGGAACTGATCGCGAACACAAGCTGTTTTCGCTCTTAGGCCTCTGAAGTACCCCTTGGTTCGACCAGGATGTTCTCTAATCCATGAGGCTAGGAACGAGCACTTCTTGAAGTCTAGCGTTTGTAAACCGTCAGGACGATTGCTGGTGTTCCTGGGCTTTGGTACCGACTTCTCGCCAGTGCAAGGCAGTTTGGAGCTCAGCCTGCTGACCTCTCAAAGTGATTCATGAAAGCAGAGGATCATGCAGAAATCCACGTGTCATGTGTCGTTCCGTCAGTTCTTGATGCCTTTCGGGATCAAAGACAAAGCTAAAAGGCAAGGTCTCGAGTCTTGAGGTTGGACATTTTCCGAGCACTCCATCACTGCTGTTTCGGCCCGTATCTCCGCATGCCCAACACGACGGCCCCTTTCTGTGCTCTTTTTGGGGGCTGAGGTTGGACGGGTGGTGTCGAGACGAAGAACCGGGAGATGAAGCTGCTGCGGGATGATGTAGGGCTGCTCAGAGTGGAGTCAGCTTTTCCTCAGTGGCACGACCTGGGTCCAAAAATGGCTGGGCTGACCTGTTTTTGATGTTGTGGCAGTTGTAGCATGTTGTGGCTGCTTGCAAGCGAAGAAGAAACCAAGATGATGAAAGACATGGACGAAATGGTCCCAAAAGGTCCCACATGGTCCCATGACACCGTTTTTGGACAGAGAGGCACACTCCTGATTGACCTCATTGACCTCGCAGGCCAGATCAGTATGTGCAAATAGTGTTTCCCAAGACTAAGAACCTATCGGCTCTAGAACTCTGATCCATTCCAACCTGGACTCCATCATATTCAATGACACCACCATGGCCATGCCACCGGGCAGCCACCAGCTCCACGCGGCCCCAGGATGGCAACGTGGACAAAGAATCCTGCTTGAACACCCCGCAGCCCTTGGGCATCTCCGGACACCGCCTGGTTTGGGATCCCAGTCGCATTGTGGGATGATGAAATCCTGGAGCACCTGGAAGAGGGGAACATTGGAACATCCAGGGTTTTTACAGAGTTTTTTTATCAGGAAGTCTCACATCAATAGTAATTTGTTGATAGGTTGAAGGGTTTCGATGTTGGCATATCATATCATGGTTTTTGACATGTTTTGACATGTCTTGACTGAATCTTGTGGCTTCCCTTCATGAAGCAGGTAACTCTGAGTGATTTCCTGGGATATTCTCAGAACTGCGATGAACCAAGGTGACCATAGCTGGTAGTAGTTGAGTGCCTGTAGCGGAACCAACAATGGGCAATCACAAGTATCGGTATCGGTCTCCTGTTAAAGGTGTGACATTTCCCAGGCAACTGTTTAGACATGTTAAACCTGCAAGCAATGATGCAGCAACTGGCAGCAACCATTGAGGCAATGTATTTTATAGGTTGGATTCACTGGCATTCTATAGAAGGCACCAGCGAATTAAATTCGGTGGTTTCAACAGGTGCCAATCACATTCCTGTTTCATTGGCCGCTTCATGAGGGTGTGACCTGTGATGCGGAGTCCAGACTTCACTCATCCATTATCGGGTAAAGATCACGCTGCAGTCGTGGTGCAGGTCAGTGGCAATACGGACTACACCGAGCCACAGACCATTTTAGAGGCCCACGGGAGCGCAGACCATGGTTCCACTGAGTCCGGTCAACCGCTGGCAAGCTCTGGACGTCCTGGGAGGTTGACAGGGTTGTTCGCTGCCACACTCGGTCGCTGTGTTATTGATTTTGAGGTCTCGGTGTCTTTACCATTAGCGACGCTTTGTGGCATTGTCCCAAGGCATGTCCTGAGCCTAGTGGATCCTAAAAAAGTCATATCCATATTACCCTTGCCTTGGAGGGAAGCAAGAATGGCCCAATGAGAGATCAGACATTGCAGAAAATCAAAAACCAGCCACGGCACTGTGCACAGGCCGAGGATCCAGGACGGCCCCGAGGGCAGCTCTATGGATTGGTGTGCAACAACGCGGCACCTCGGCTACGCCCATGTTTTCGAAAAAGGATGCCTTTTGGACACCTCCCACATCTTTTTTGCTTTTGCTGGATTTTTGTTCTTGTTTGATGTTTGACCGCAAATTCGTCCAAGATACCAAACAACGATCACCCTGAGCATCCAAGATTTCATAGTGAATGGGCATGTGTCGGGGGTCGAGTGAGTGGCATAGACGGGTGTCGATGGCAGCCCCCCAAACCCCTAGACTTTGGTAGATGGGATGAGTATTGTGGCAAATTCCCACAAGGACCTGAGTGACAACAATTGGCTGGTAGTTGGACAAAGGTTGATCCAGGGATCGCAGATGATTGCAGAGTTTCCTTTTGAGGATGAGCAAAGACGATATTAAAGTGGAGAGACATTGTGCTGGTGCTTGCCAGGGAGTCAGGTTCCAGGTGAGTGTCCAGAATAGCATCTTTGCACAACCCTGACATAGGATCGAACTCGCATGATGATACTATTCACAGAAGAGAAATGAGCCTAACCGTTTCTACCCTTGGCTGGGGTGATCCCTTTGGGCCGTCCATGTTTGCTTCTCCACACCCGTTGAACCCCAACGGAGAGCTCGCCTCCAGCGCACGCGCCGTTATCCGGACCTGGCGAAAAGGTCCCCACGCCGGACTGTGCGGCCAACATCCGGATCTCGGTGTGGGGAGGCTCAAAGGCTCAAAGTGAATGGGACCTTGATGCGCAGCACAATACTGTAATTGGGTTCCAGCAACTGGGTGTGTCTCAGCATGGGAATTTGTACTCGAAGTCACTGGAGGCACACTGATTTCCCTTCAATCATGTCTCAAGAAAACCTGATCCCGGTGATAAGTAACTGGATCATCGGATCATCTCCATGCGCGGAGAGCCACGAAGACAGTAGTCACATGAGGCCATGGTGGCCTGGTGCAAGTGCTATTCACTGCCGATGGAGTTAACAAAGCATGGGCTCTAACTAGCAAGAAGGTCAAGCCGGCTTTTGCCAGGCATTTTTCCACAAGGGCTTGGAGTTGTACAAGACTGTATAAAGTTTACACCGTAAAGGTCGAAATCGGTCCTCGTTAGAAGGACTGCCAGCTTTAAGAAGCTCAGCTCTTCATCAAGTTCAAAACAACTTGGCGCCCTCAGCGTTTGGATACGGTTTTTATTCTTTCTGAGACCAGGTTTGAAGTGCCTGCGGTCACAGACTTTAGAATATCCAGATAGTCAACAAATACCTGCATTGAACTTCCCGCCCCAGCAAGAGCCAACTCCGCCACCCATAACCACTGGCCATACCAGCTGTGGCCATACCTGGTGGATTTGAAGTAATTAGTGCAAAGCTACGGTAGGCACCATTGGTACTCCTTGCTGGAGTAGATGTCGAATACAAAGTTCAATCATTGAACATGTTGGATTATTTTGCCATATATAATCTATTTCCCCGCAATGTAGACTGTAACATGTCTTTTGTTCCACCAGGTCACCATCGACCTTTCAGAGAACCATGGGCAAGCCGGTCCTTTTCCAGAAGAACAGAAACGAGTCTTTGGACTCCCTTCATGTGACATGATTATGTGACATGAGAAGCACCAACCGCACGGTGCCTGCCCTGAGGCCTGGGTGGTATGCTGCTTGCTACTGCGACTCCAATTGTCCCTGCTCCTAGCGGAACCAATCGCACTCAGTGGCCGGACCCGCAGTCCAAGCTTCATGGGGAGTCCAGCAGGATTTTGTGTGTGCCGTGCGCGTTTGTATTTAGTATCACTGCTACTTGAAAGTCCATAATTAGTTGTAACATGTTGTACCTATAGTCCTATAGTCGCTATAGTGTTATACCGTGATTTGTCGCATCAAAGAAACAGATAGTCTTACTCTACATTGCTTGCAGGGTTGTTGAGGTTCCAGGCTTCTTCGTGTTGATGGGTCGCTGGCACAGCAAGACTCTCCCCGGTCGCATGTGACTAGGTCCGACTAGGTCGCCACGATATCCGCTGATTGAGCGACATGGGGAGCTAGTCTACACAGCTTCTGGCGATATCAGCATGTGGGATTCTGCAGGTGTAGCTTGACACCCCTGAAAAAAGTTCCCTGGGATCCAGGTTTCACCTGTGAAACACACACAAACAGCAGCACCAATCGCATCTCATCGCACCATTGGACCAAGGCACCGAGGTGAGCAATTGGGCGGTCTTCGGCCG